TGCTACACTCGAGATAAGCAGCGGAAATGTTTTTTTAGACTGAGTCCTTATCAGCAACAAGCAACGTTACACACCCAAAAGTAACCTCACCCCATCAGCAATGATTGATGGAAACTGCACTCGAAATGTTTCACTGACTGTGTCAGCTCCACGTGCAGCAAATTGTTTCTGAGCTGAGATCGCTGCCCAGCCCTGAATGGCCCCCTCCTCTCTTTTCCCTCGTGTTGTCTCCTTCACTGTAGCCCCCTCAAACCTACCTCAGTAAGACTGTGTTGTGAAGTCTCACCGAGACCACACTGACCTTGACTGACTGGTCACTGATGGGATTGAAGGCGTGTGGTGAAGTTGTCCAGTGACCTCTCTTTCCCAACGGTTCCTACATATTGGACAGTCTCCCTGACAGGGCGACACAGTGCTGAAGGGGTTCTGTTACTGCACTCTCAATCCAGAACCTGGATTCACAAATCCCACCAGTTTGAAAGTTAGAAATCCATTTACTAATGTGGACATTTAAAAATAAACTGGCAGCAACCAAGTCATGAATGTCTTTCCGGGAAGAAATCCTGGTGTCCTTTCCTGGTCTGCCTATTGATTAGGAGCAGGTTCTGTTTCAGAGAATCAATACCACAGCGAACAGAATGGATCCTGGGAGGGTGGAGGATCCAGGCACAGGCAGCATCAGAGGAGCCGGAAAGCTGACGTTTCGGGTCTGGACCCTTCTTCAGAAATGGTCCAGACCCGAAACGTCAGTTTCCTGCTCCTCTGATGCCGCCTGGCCTGCTGTGTTCCTCCAGCTCCACACCTTATTATCTCAGACTCCAGCATCGGCAGTTCATACTTTCTCTGAGGATCCAGGCCCAGTCTTGATGATGGAGATGTGAGAATTGATGAATGTTCAGGAGATTTCTTCAGTTGTGTTTGAAAGCCAGAGACTATTCCCCCATAGGTTTTCCTCAGGAGATTAAATGGAGTAAATAAATTTGGAGGTCAGGGTACTGTGTCCATAAAATGTGGAAGGATATTAAATGGGTGGTAATCCCAGGACAGTGTGGACTGTAAATGGGCTGTGAATGATGCAGATTCATAGGTTAGCTGATGATTATGATTTAATTTTTCTTGATCACAAGGTTAACTCATTTTGTTGTTCATCAGGTAATCACCACCTTCAATCTGAGACAAACTCCGGTTTACTGGTAAACTCACTTAGTACCTTTGTTTAAAATCTTGACCGAGTTCGTGAAGTTAAGGGTGAAGATTTTCTACTTTAGAGACAGTTTGTGCTGTTTCTGTCCGAGGGACAGATTATTCTCTACTCGTACAAGGAGAATCATTTTTGAGCCTCTTTTCCTTTCACACTTTCAGTCCTGTTGGTCTGACCTTTTTTGGGTAAACATAAGAATCAATAATTGGTGTCGGTCACTAAATCAGAAGCATATTTCCATATGTAAAACACTGTGCTTATTCTTTTTAGTAACACTGTTCCCTCTGGGACGCCCCCTGTTCAGTTTCTGTGATGCTGCCAACTCTTACAGGAAACGTAAGGAGAAGGAAATAGACCTGAGGTTGTTGCTAAGTTTCGCACATCTGACAGCCATGAATGAAAATATCAAACCTGTTTCTCATAACTTGACAGCTGCACACTGTGAGATGCTGTTCAAATACAGAGGAAAATCAGAATTGGAGTGTATCATTCAGCCTCTTGATGCTGCTCCATTACTCACAAGTAGATCATGGCTGAGGTGTACCTACCGGTCTCGGTTCTAGATCCTTCGATGCTTCTTTCAGAAAATTGCTGTCAATCTCAGTGCTGAATTTTTCACTTCATTCTCCAGTCTCATCAGCTTCTCAGGGAAGACAGTTTGAGATTTTCACCAACCTTTGTGTAAGAAAATACTTCTTTGACAGCGCCCCTGAATGGCCTGGCTTAAATTTTAATGATCTGCTCCCCCACCTCCACCAGATAAATTATTTCTCTGTGTTTATACTGTTTAATCTTTAATCAGCTTGAACCTCTCAATTACATCACTCTTCTAAATTCCACATTTGAGGCAATACAAGTCAAATCAATGGAAAGGTTATCTTGTTGTAACCCTTTCAGCAGGTATCAAATTGGTAAATCTTCACAGCACCTTCACCATTGTCAATACATCCTTCCTGAACTTCAGTCCAGGTACTGAGTGACGTTCTCCTCAAGTGATGGAACCAGAAATCTGTTCAACTCCAACATCAATTCCCCCTATTTCTATTCCAATATCCATCAACAACTGCTGTACATTGAAAGATTCTGTTAAAATGTGTTTGACAGATTAATTAAAACTGAAACTTTGCAGTTGTCTCTCACACATGAAGCAAATTTTCTGCCTTTACTCTCATCCTACAGGATTGGTCACTCTACCTGTGGAATATTTACTTCAATAATCTTTATGATTGATGGAAATGACAAACTCTGTGACTGTGATCAGGGTACACTGTCCCTCCTCATCCTCCTCAATGTGTGTGCAGCCTTTCACACAATTGATCACCACCATCCTCTTCCAGTGTCCAGCAGAATGGGACTGTCCTCACTGGTTCCACACTTATCTGTCCAGTCATTGCCAGAGAATTTTTAAATATTACTTCAAGGGACGTGGGTGTCACAGGCAAGGGCAGCATTTGTTCCCATCCCTAATTCCTGGGAATTGATGTCTCGCTGGACCAGTTCAGAGGGCCGTTATGTGTCAATTATATTGCTGTGGGTTTGAAGTCACAAGGCAGAAACTGTCATAACATTTGAGAAATATTTAAATGTGCACTCGTGGTACCAAGGTATACAAGGTTATGGGCCAAGTGCTGGAAAACTGGATTAGCACAGTTAGGTGGATGTCCTGACTGGACGTGATGGGCCAAAGGGCTTTTCCTGTGCTGTAGGTCTCTCTGATTCTATGACGTCATGGACCCAACCAGGTAAAGATGACAGATTTCTTTCTGTTACATTTTTACAACAATCACTGACAGTTTCATGGTCAGCATTACAGAGACTAGCTTCAATAACAGGTTTCTTAATTATATTCAGATTTCATCAGTTACCATGGTAGGACTGTGTGACATGTCTGCTGGTCATCCTTTGGCACAGTATCCTCTGTACCGCGCATATTCTTCATCAGATTCTGTGCCTCTCTAATTTCATTCAGTCACTGACTATGACAGATAGAGTTTTGGTTGTTTTTCTTGTAATCCTAGCTGACAGTGGTTTGGGTCAGTCAGATCCTAGCATGAAATCTGACCTGATAGTTCAGAATTTGATTTTGTTTGTTTGGTTAATGTGGTGGTTAGTTATTGAAACATATTCACATGAGGCTGCAGATTTTCTTCAATAACAGATCAGACATTTATTGCACAGAAGGGGAGGCAATGGCTGAGTGGTATTATCACTGTACTGTTAATCCAGAGACCCAGGTAATGTCCTGGGGACCTGGGTTTGAATCCCACCACGGCAGATGGTGGAATTTGAATTCAAGAAATATCTGGATTTAAGAATCTAATGATGACCATGAATCCATTGTCGGAAAAACACATCTGGTTCACAAATGACCTTTAGGGAAGGAAACTGCCATTCTTAACTGGTCTGGCCGATGTACTCCAGTCCCGTAGCAATGTGGTTGACTCATTACTGCCCTTTGGGCAATTAGGGATGGGTAATAAATGCTGGCCTAGCCAGTGATGACCTCATCCTGTGAATGAAAAAACAAAAAGATGAAATTAAGAAAAATCAAGCTAACTAAACACAGAAGACAATTAAAATGATTCTACAAAGCACAGTAAAACAAAGTTTCAGCCTATTTCCAACATCTCTGATAGAGACTCAAGTCCAGAGAAATTACACTGCTATTACAGCTCTTTAGGGTTTTACTTAACTAACTTCTGATAGTTTGTTACGTAGCAGTCGGCTACGGAGACAGTTCAATCAGTCCTTTCCAACTCTGCTGACATGAACTTTTCACAAATCTGAAAGTTTCACCTTTCTCAGTTTGCTGACAGATCGCAGACCAAACACTCCTGGACTGGATATTTTGTGAACTAAATCTTTCTACTGCAATAATTTGCTCCCTGAACTACCCTGATACTTTCTGAGAGAGCAACTAAACTTGCTTCTGCATTTAATTCCAGTGCTTTATCAGTAGATTTTTAAAAAATAATGCTCCTCCTAGATTTCTCAGATCAATGAACAAATCTCATGGCCTTGCATATTTCCCTTACCTGTCGCAAGCATGACAGTGTAAACATCTTGCATTAATATGACAGGGATCTGCTTTATCAGCTTTCTGACCAAATACTGGTTCTAATCACTGTGCTGAAAGGTCTCTCTGACCTTATTTTTAAAGAAAGCTTTTCACCCATTTGCCTCCAATGTGAACTCTGAATTCTAAAAGTTATGTTTCTGTAAAAATTCTAGTGTTTTGTCACACTGTGAGAGTAAAGATTTCTTCAACAAGGACTATTTCATCTTGATCAGGCCTTGCCTCAGGGATCAGGGACAGAGCATTTACAATAGCCTGCTGTTTTCCTGGTAAACCCATCCTCGTCACCATCCTCAGTCAGAATTGTTGTCCTCACAATGAAATTTGTGCAAACTTATAACCTCAGTGAGGGTTTGTGTTCTGTCTCTGTCTTGAAGTGGAGATACATACTCTGTGAATGGCCAT